GTTTGAAGGACGAGACAAATGTCTTGTCAGTTGGTGTTTCGTAGCCAGAGTAAAAAGTTGTGTTTGACAGGAGTACGAATGTGTCATGGTATCATTGAAATGTGGAGGCAAGTTTGAATCTACGAGATGACAGCCTCGCCGTAGTGTAATCGACACCCAGCCTGATGTTCAAACTTAACTGCCAGCTGTCAGAGATGCCTGCTCAGCGCTTGTATGTGTGACGTGTATGTAACATCAATATTGCAAGGTAAAGAACGTGTACTTATGAGATGTATGGTATAACAGCATTTCTGTTTCTTCTTCTTCTGCGTTCGACATCAGTCATGCTACACATTGAGTCCCGTCTGGGTCAAAAATAGGATTGTGCGTTTAAGGTCGCCACCGGTCCCCCATAGCTTCTCTCGCAATGTGGATCCCCTGGGCCAGATCCACAGTCTTTACTGGGAGAGGTAAGGGCAGTACTGCAGTATGTGCTCAGGGGTCTGTCTTTCTGCTCCATAATCACAGGCAGCAGATTTTTTTTTTTTTATCCTGTACAGGTGTGCTCGAAGACCACAGCATTTCTGTGAATATTAGACCATGCTAGAGAGTAGCGGAAAGTGTCTGGAACAGGTTGTGTTTTGGATAGAATACATTTTATGTACTGTGAGGTTGTCTCTTACCATCTGTGTGTGTAAACTCGTCATCTATGTGAGAAACATAACACCCTAGCTAGCACACCAAAGACAACTTTGCAATAGCAAAAGCGAATGGACGTCGCTTGGTGCAGCAGAGCCTGGCATATGAGAGTGCAGAGTGGCAAGCATCAATTCAGAGGTCCCGAGTAGGTAGCATCCTTTGGATATTTTCTCCAGGTGATGCCGGCGTGTTGGGAAATTAACAGGCAGATAGACTGGCCGGTTCTACACCACTTGGTGGTGAGCTGATTATGACAAGCTGGATGTTGTGAAGGCTCTTTGGAAGCGATTGAACAGTGCAGGGGCACAGATAGATCATTATGGTCTGGGTAGAATGGCGCTGCGAGGAGTTACAAGGGGATGTTGCCGGCGCTGAACACTCAAGGGAAAGGCGAGATGGATATACAGACAGTTACTGGTGCCGTCGGAATTTTAACACTTTGCTTGTGCTGAAGATGGGGTCAGAGCACTTATGGGGGTGTCCCGAGTGCTGTGATGTCGATTCTTAATTCAACATTAAACAACAAGCCCAGAATTCACTAATGTTTGTCTCCATATTACGTATTACTAGAAGTCCTACTCTACGCTCAGGATGTTCACCTCCAGAATAATCAATATAAATTCATCCCTTTTTTTGTAGCTATCATCTGTCCATCTTGGATGGTACTATTTGTTCCCCAATCTGTTTCATCAGGCTTTTAGTCAGTAACAACTTATTTGGTTGCCTTTGACTGGACTTATTTTCTGTGTACCCATCTTCACTATGTCTACAGCACAGTGCTGGGTTATCTGTTATGTTCCGTAGATCGAACACCTTGCTACTGGAGAGATGCGCACAGGTGATAAGGTATGCATTGACCACGTCCTTTATATAAATAGCTCTAGTCGGGCGTGGTATTGACCACCTCGTGGTGCATAAGTAATTTACAATGAATGATTTGTTTAATTCTGCCACACCTGTTGATGTTTCTTTTAAGCTTTGGCAATAAAGCCATTAGATCAGGTTTCTAATGAATGTTTCAAATCAATATATAACTTCCAGTGTTCAAAAGTAACACAACACAACCAAGCCAAGATATCTTCTGGCCTTGGAACTCAGAATAGACCCACTGCCTTCCCAGAAAGCATGTAGTAGGAGTCGACTAAACTAGGGACTTTCGAAGTCTGAGTACATCTGCCCGAGCGGCAAGGAACAAGCAACTGCAAATAAACAAGTAAAACGGACGTACACGCAAAACGCTGGCCCTGGTCCAAATGGACCAGCAACCAAGACTTTTCGCCGGAGCTTACAGAAGCCTGATAACCAGACTGAGGCTTGAATCTGCCGTCTTCAAATGACAACAGCGCTTCGATTGGTTATGCTTACTTCGATCCACAACCTCGGGGCCATGTTTCGAATGACATGATAAGAGCCGTAGAATGTTAGCAATATGATAATCATGTTTTGTGCTATACTTTATAGACCAATCGGCACAAGATGGGTCAGCATCACGCCTGCCGCCTTTACTTCCCGGGAGTGCACCCGCTACCCACTGAAGGCTGGGAGCCAATGTCATTTTTGAAAAAAGTCGTTTTCGACGTAGCGTTACCATGATATCTTGAGTTGGAAATGGAACACCCCAAGCAATTAAAAGTGTTAATTACTAGCTCAACAACGGTATTAAATCCCTAACTATTGTCGCCAAGAAATAAATCAGACGATATGCTCTTTAACTGCACAGTAGAGAAGAAAAACGCTTCCTGAAAATTCCCATCAACACAAGTGAGACATAAAAAGTATTTAAAGTTATTAAATCTTATGAAGTCGACAGATATAAGTATATGTTCCTGCCCGAGCTAATTGCTCGATTTAACAAGCAAACAAAAAATTAAAATAATAACTAAATTGAACGATGGGGAGAAAGATTCAGCTTCACCAAGCGATGAGCACCTTGTAACACAAAGTGCCACCACGCGGATGAGGATCGCCCGGGAGAGGTTCCAGAAACCCTGTTGAACCGTTACGTTATATTAGGGCCTCTGACTACTGCCGGAATGTGGCTTTAGAATAACGAAAAACTGCGTTCTGTATTGAGACGACGCTAAGTCGATGCGAACGCTTCGTAATGCCGGGGTGCAGGGTTCGATCCCAGCTGCGGACCATGCGCCTTGCGTTGGTTTCGACAGTGGTATCAGGGGGCCGACCGCCCAGAAAGCAATGGCAAACTACTGGACGTAAATTTGCCTAAAGAAACCACACAACAGCCAGGGGCTGCTGGGGTTGATTCTGCAACGTCCTGTAACGGATACGCAACTAACCATTGAGACGACAGGTTAATTAACAATGGTTTGGACAATGGGACACATTAAACAAAACGAGAGTGCCCCGGTTAAAATCTGGACGTATGGTCACCATTTCCAGTATAAGTCTTGGGGCTTATGACGTCAGCTTGACGTGACGTCACATCCCCTGTGCTAACGATGCGTCCCGTTTTTTTTCGTTATGTTTCCCCCCGTCCCCCGAGTACCCCCCCCCCCCCCAACACACACACACAAATAGGAATAAGCTCGAGAATAGAACATGTATACAGGTATATCAAAACCATCTCTAGTATACTGGGGACGGTCTTGCCCTGCCTTGACATCAACATCACTTTGGTGAATGCACACACATAAACGACCTACACTTTATGAAAAATTCTTCATTGTGTTTCAAAGTATTAACCCAGATTTCTATTAGATTCATTTGCAAACTGTTTCTTTCACTGGTTGTCTTAGCACGCAATTTGTCAACCTTTTCAGCAATTATTTCCATTCTCTGTGTTGTGGACGCAAGTAGTTTGTGATGTAGCCAAGTGGTACTCTGCAGCTTCAAGCAATTACTTCAATTACTGCAGCTTCAAGCAATTACTTCAATTACTGCAGCTTCAAGCAATTACTTCAGTTACTGCAGCTTCAAGCAATTACTGCAGAATCAGGCAATTACTTAAAGTACGTAGCTGCAGTCAGCTTCTTCAAGTAATTGCCGGTTGGGATCTGAATCGATGTCAACCTTTGTGGGGTTCTTTTTTTTTTTGGGGGGGGGGGGGGGGGGAGGGGGGTCTTTTTGTGTGTCCTTTTTAAATTAATTTCCAGATCGATGTCTGTAAAAAGATATCAGAGGCGTCTCCTCTTTGCTGGTTGGGGGACTCAAGATTTGGGGGTCCCTGTCCGTAGTTCTTATTATGCTGGCCCTGTTGTCTCGTGCTGTCTTCCCAGCCTTTAGACCCCTTATATAGCTGGTTGCTGCTTGTGGGTATGACACAGGGAATAGAAGACGGCTGCTTCCTGTTCGATATGCTTAATAGAAGGGTTGAGTGAGTCCCACTGTCTAGAGGCCCCACCTCTGTCAGCCTATTATAGAGGATCCCTAATCAAACATAAAGCTGGGTTCCCCTGCCCCTAGAAATGGTTAAAACACGACTGGTGTGGTTATGTTACCCAGTAATAGCAATAACTGCTGAAAGTGTAAGTTGGTGTGCCCCTCTTTCAAAGTCAGCATAAAAAGTCTACTGTGTCGCCTCTGCATCTGTTAAAATAGAAAAGGGATCAAACAGCAGGTAAACAGCAGCTAATTCTGTTACTAAAAAAAAAGGCTTAAAAGTACTAAAACGCCACGTTAATCATTAGTCATTGTCTGTATGAGAAGCTTTCAGCTCCCAGTCGGACCAACTGGCCTATATAAATTATTAACTGAACAAATAGCAGATGGTCCAGGCTGAGACCACTTTATCATCGTGTATAACACTGGTTGACTAAGGCACAATCAAGACTATAATAAATGAAACATATGCGAATCAATGTCACCCAAAAATAACAATAAATGATGAAGAAATTGAAAATGTCACAAACTTTGAATATCTAGGCCAGGGCTATTCAACTTTTACTCGCGGGCCAAAATGTTGAAAATCGGGATCGTCGCTGGCCAGTGGCCCGAGCCAAGTGTGGGAATATTATTAACACTACAATCGAGAAAACTGTAGATGTGTAAATTTAATACACTCTAAGACGGTTACGCCTAGGCGCCCTAGGGCCTAGCCTACGGTAATATAAATGAAACAGTTTTGTAAACCATTATAATGTAAAATGTACTACAATCTTTTGTAATGATTAAAAAATACTCACTTTTAATTGAAATACACGTATTTCCAACTTGTTGTTTGAATAATAAATGAACGTTTGCATCAGTCACTTCAGTTGTATTGTCACAATAAAAATAGTAATACAGTTAATAATAACTTCCCCCAGTTCGTTTCATATGGCTTTGTACGGAAGAACCGAAAGCAATAATGGGGCAAAATTTAATTAATGGGAAAAGTTGCATTTCCGTTTTTGAGCTAATTTTATAAAATTTGGTTGGTGAGAAGTTAGAGCAATTCTCATGCAATCCTGCAGCCTGTCATTGCTCATTGAGCTCCGACTGTTTGTCTTGATGATGTTCATATGTGAAAAGCTTGATTCACAATTGAAAGTTGAACCAAACATGGTGAGTATGAAAACGGTAACCTTTCTAGCATTAGGGAACTGCTCCTGTTGAATCGTTTCGGACCAAACCTTGACGGTACCACTTTCTTGAAAAACCTTCATTCAGTGCGCTGGAACTTTGGATATCCACAAGTTCTAACTGCAGAGAACCTTCATCAACAGAGGGTAACAGCTTTTTAGCATTCGAAGAAAAATCACCCGCAGGGGGAATTTTAAAAGGATCTCGAACGAATAACATTACATTGTTTGGGATACTAAAGTCTTCAAATCTGTTGTTGAAATTGTCCTGAAGCTTTTTTAATAAATCTATCATTCGATTAGTTATGGTTGCTGAGTCCAGTGTTGAAGAAATAAAATCCTTCTAGTTTGGGAAATGAAGAAGTTTGGCTGTTTGGAGATCCGTTACAAACAAAGCTAGCTTATCTCGAAAAGCGTTCAATTTTTCAACCAGATCAATGATTGTCTTGTGTCTTCCTTGCAGTTGCAAGTTCAGTGTGTTCAAATGAGCAAACAAATCGTTTAAAAAGCAAATATTTGCCAAAAATAAAACGTAATACTTTCCTAAACTTTTCTGCTTTATTATGGGAACAGTTTCCAAGAAAACATATCATTTCTTCTTTGATACTCCAAAAACGATCAAGTGCTTTCCCTTTACTCAGCCAACGAACGTCATTATGCAGAAGTAAGTCTTTGTAATCTGCTTCCGTTTCTTCAAGTAACTGCCGAAATAACCTGTGCTGAAGACTTGACGAAGATCGAATGAAATTGATTATTTTCATCACCATATCCATTGTTTCCTTCATCTCGTTGCTCAGTTTGCTGCACAGAACATTTTGATGGATAAGACAATGTAGCGACTGCATCTGAGGTGTTACTGCAGAAAGCCTGGCGGTCACACCTTGGTGCTTACCTAACATTGACGGCACCCCGTCCGTTACCAATAAACAATTTTTTTTTTTCAAATCAAGTCCATTTTCTGTAAAAAAAAAAAAAACTTAATCTTATCAGAAATAACTTCTCCAGTTGTGAAATTTTCTAATGCTATTAAAGCTAGAAGTTCTTCATGAAAACATTTTCCATCGAAAAAACGCACATATAAACATAAATGAGCCACGTCTATGATATCTGTAGATTCGTCTATGGCAATTGAAAAAAATGCTGCCTGCTTTATGTTTACAATGAAAGATTCAAAAACTTCAGTTCCTAAAATTTCGATTCTGCGTATCGTCGAAGTCTCCGACATAGGGATTTGATGAACTGCATGTGACACGCTTGTTTTTATTTGATCATCAACTGCTATTTCGTCCAAAATTGCTAGTATGCATTCTTTCATTGTTTCTGAGTCAGTGAAAGGCCACTTCTTTTTGGCTAATATCCGCGAAACATGCAAAGAAGCCGCTGTGGCTTTTTCTTGTTGAGTACAAGCTCGCACAAACATTTTGCTGCTATGCTGATAAGTAGCAATCAATGACTCAACCTTTGATTTCCTAGCAGTGAAACCTTCTGGATATGATATTCCAAAATCAACGGGTTTTGTTGTAAAGTGCCGCTTTACGTTGTACTTCTTTACTACCGACACACATTCGTTTGCACAGCAAGCACATTGGTTTCGAATTAGGCATTGTTGGTGATATAAATAAATATTTCAGTGTCCAGTCATTGTTGAACATACGATTTTCACACACACATTTAGCTTTCTTACTAGTACCAGCCATGGCATCAAGTATGTCACTTAAGTATTAAAATTTAGAAAACTTAAAACACTGTTGCTGTTTCAGTTTGTTACTACACAATCGCGTCCGGCAGTCTGCGTCTGTCTGTGACTTGCATGCACACTAGACGTTTACGAAATATCTGACTATAATCTAACAACAAATTCACTGTGATGTCCAGTGTCACTAATTTTCTGCAGCACCCATTGTCAATAATCTTTGTTTACGAGTATTCAACTTTAAGGGATAGTTCCTCGGTAATCTAAGCGCTAACTATCTGGATCGGGATTGGATCTCCATACGCCTCCTGTCAAATAAATATCTCACCTTCATTGACTGTCCAGTGGAGCGACTGCTGCCTACCGTGGTTACTTGATTCTGTCCAGCCTATCTTATTACCTTTGGCTCCTAACAGGCGAGTTCTGCTATTTCAAGTAACTTTTACCGTGAACTAATTACATTTCCATGCCTGAGAGATTTCCCCAGTTGTGGTATTGTCTGTTCATTCGCCTGTTCCCTTGTATCTTCGCATTTAGAGATCCATGACAAACATTTCTTATTGTCACATTCGACACAACTGGTTTTTGAAGATTTATACAGAAACATTGATTGATTCATTCATTCATTCAGTAGCATGTCCCTCGCGGAACCTCGCTGCCATAACAACCCTCCGGAAAACCTTCCTATCCTGAGCAAGATGTCCTGCGTCTGATACACCCACCTGGAGATCATCTGCCACATCCTGCACCCATCTTCTCCTTGGCCTTCCTCTCCCTCTCTTCCCAGGCATATACCCCTCTATTATTGTTCTCTCTAGACTTCCATGACGTTTCAAGTGACCAAAATATTTCAATTTTCTTTGTTTTATTGTCTTTACTAGCCAACCCTCTTCAATATTCAGCTCTTGAAGTATGGATGCATTTGTTCTTTTCTTCACCCAAGATATTCTTAGAACCTGTCTGTAACATTTATATTCAAATGCATTTATGCGCTGTTCCGCTTGTTTAGTAAGTGTCCAGGTCTCACAGGCGTATGTTGCAATGGGAAAGATGCATGCTCTTAAAAATCTGACCTTTGTTATTCTATCTGTACAATTCCATAATTTATTCAGTTGTTTTAGTCTTTGAAGAGCAATTGATAGTCGCCGTTTAATTTCTTTCATTGTGTCACCATTGTTGGTAACCAGTGACCCAAGATATTCGAAATTTTCCACCACTTCCAATCTTTCCTCATTAACATATATTTCCTTCTCCATGGCAGTTTTGTTTGTATGCATTATCTTTATTTTTGCTATGTTAAGAAATAAGTTATGATTTTCACTATTTCTTTGGAGTGAGTTTAATAAGTTTTCTAAACCATTTTGTGATGTTGATAGTAATACTGTATCATCAGCATAACGAATTTCTGGTATTTCATGACCACCGATGTTTAGGGCATCATATTGTTCCTTGTTTATATCATCTCTTACATTTCTCATTATATTTTCGGCGTACAGGTTGAACAAATACGGTGACAGCACACATCCCTGACCGACTCCTTGCTTGATGCCAAACCAGTCTGATGTCTCTCCATCTATTCTGACTGCTACTTGTTGGTCTTGATAAAGCATTTTAATGAGCTGCACTATATGTGATGGAAAGCCCATATTTCTCACGATTTCCCAAAGCTTCTGATGTTGTACACAGTCAAATGCTTTTGAATAATCCACAAAACATAAGAACAGATTTACATTAAATTCTCTACACTTCTCTATTATTAAATGCATGTTGAATATATGATCTCTTGTTCCTCTTCCCTGTCTAAATCCAGCCTGAGCTACATTAATCTCTTCTTCCATTTTCTTATGCAGTCTTCTCATCATAATTTTTAGTAGAATTTTACTTGCATGACTGATCAGAGCAATAGTTCGATAGTTTGTACATAATTTCAGGTCACCCTTTTTTGGTATTGGAATGAAGATAGTTCTCTTCCAGTCTTTTGGCCAAATACCATATTGATTGATTACATCTTTTTTAAATATACTACATTTCAGTGGCAACGATCGGCGGGCCACTTGCTAGGTCTCCGCGGGCCAGATTTGGCCCGCGGGCCGCCAGTTGAATAGCCATGAAATCTAGGCTTTATAATAAACAACAATGGAGGCTGTTCAACAGAAATTAAAAGAAGGATGGTCATAGCAATGCAAAGATTGAACAGCCTTAAAAATCTATGATTAAGCCCCAGCAAGGAGATAAAAATTAGAATTTTGAAAGCATGCATCTTCCCTGTGGCTACATACGGATGTGAGTCGTGGACTATCTCTCAGCCCTTAAGAAAGAGAATAGGGGCTTTTGACCTGAAATGCTATAGAAAGATTCTCAGAATATCTTGGACAAAGAAGAGGAGAAATATTTACATCTTAAAAGATCTGAACATCAAGGAAGATTGGCTAATAAACAGCAAGCATCCTTTCTCGGAAGTTGGAATATTTTGGTCATATCAAGCGCCACAACGGATTGGAAAAAACTATATCAGAAGGCATGGTACCAGGAAGGAGGGGCAGGGGCAGGGGCCGACCGACACGAAGATGGGCACGGGATATAAGTGACTCCTTGATTATGAAAGTACATGAGGCAGGAGAATTGGCGAGAGACCTAGTTTCTTTCAGGCAGACCGTGATGACAGCGACGTTCTGCAAAGGACTTGCTACATGATGATGATAATGTGAATCAATACAGAATTTATTTTTACCGGTCACAAAGGGTTGTTTTACCTGATTCTGGGACAATCGGCTTAATTATTGTTTTCACCTTTGTTCTAAAGTAGACAAGGAAAAACCAGAGACTAAGAGATGAACTCATATGACCGTACAATAGATGTAGGAATACCCAAAGACTGTGTTAGACACAGCCGTCACTGTCTGCGGAATGAGCATAAAAACGCCACAGAAAAAAAAAGTTGTTTTTTATTCCACTGACAAGCGCCTTTTGGGGAACTAGCAATATTTAAAAAAACATTGTGTTAATTAAGCAGTGGTGGGGTTAGTTATTTTATATCCTATCTGTACACACCGCTAACTTCTTATACTTGGTTAGAATAGCTTAAAAGTGTTTTAAATGTGAAAGGAATTCTTGGCTCGTAAGTAGACGCTGTCTTTTACTAAAATTACTACCACCACTAATATACTACTACTGCTACTACTACTATCACCACTTCTACTAGTTCAGTCTATCTATCTATCTATCTATCTATCTATCTATCTATCTATCTATCTATCTATCTATCTATCTATCTATCTATCTATCTATCTATCTATCTATCTATCTATCTATCTATCTATCTATCTATCTATCTATCTATCTATCTATCTATCTATCTATCTATCTATCTATCTATCTATCTATCTATCTATCTATCTATCTATCTATCTATCTATCTATCTATCTATCTATCTATCTATCTATCTATCTATCTATCTATCTATCTATCTATCCAACTGTCGCTGCTTTTGTTTTCACCACTGCTCCTATTAATACTACTACTGCTGCTGCAACCACAACGACTACGGTAGGAAGAGGAGGAGAAAAAGTAGAAGAAGATTTCTACTTCTCTTTTTAATAATTTTCGAATAAAGCTCCCAGAAATCAAGGCTATGTTTGCCACCACCTTCTCTGTTGACCTTGTTGGCCCATAAATAGTCAGCCATGTGTTTACCAACATGGAACCACGGCCGGCTCTATTTATAGATCAACTGGGTCAACGGGTATTCCCGTTTTTGTTCAAGTAAGGAGTCCCTCTGTGTTCAGTTTTTATCGAGGAGATGTATATACAAACTGAACTAGAGTTTCATTCTTCTTCTTCTTCTTCAATCCTTCTGTCAGAAAACTTACATCAGGAGGCCGGTAGCCTTTATGGAAACCTATCGTGCAATCCATATCCTCTCATGTACCATACAGTTTTGTCTTCAGTGTGGATAGAACAGACCAGATTGCGACTCTGTTGTCAGCATACAGCTGACAGTGTTGGAGCACATGCTCAGAATTTTCGGGTGCCACGCTGCAGGGACACGTCTCTGTATTTCCTACACCAAAAAATTTGAACATATGTTGATGAAATCTGTTGTGCCCAGTCCTTAGTCTAAATATAATGCACTGTCCCTCTCTAGAGAGGCGATGAAGTGAGTCTTGGGTAGAAAATCTGGTGTGGGTATCCAGCCACCTTTCTTG